ATGCATATTGCGTAGTTGTGCTTTTATCAAAAACAAGGGAGAACCAATTAAATATTAATAACTTATTATATTATTGTATTTAATGTATGCTTAATTTCCTGTGAGCCTTTTGTTTTCCTATGTATTTTTTTTATCTTGAAGGATCATTCAAAGCAAATATTGAGAAATATCCTCACGGGACATCACTTTTGGCCACAACTGCATATAAGAAATTGATGTAGTATTACGAAAATGAAAAGCATTGCCTTCATTGCTGTTGGTTGAGATTTTTCTGCTGTCCCTTATGCATTCATTAACGAGAACACGTGTTCCACGGATGTAGACGTACCAGTTAGGCACAAAATAAACTCCATGGCTAGTTAGAAGACTCCAATGTGAGAGACTTGCCCACCATCAACATTTAAATTATATAATTATATTTCTATTCCAATACGCTGTTGAAATATAAACATTTAAACGATGGCTGTTATATCTCGTGTTCAAGACAGATTTATTAAAAAATACTGTACAATATGAGACATCACTAAAAAGTGAAATAAATATAATGAATAGTGCATTTAATAAAATGTTGCTCTGTAGACTTATTTTCTCTCTTATTTCTCCGCTAACTAACGAGTTATGGTCAATGAATGTCATTCCTGAGTTAAATGTAATTAAGCTGTTACATTAACGTCTTTTAAGGGATAACATGAGATGCGATGCATTTCAGTAAGTTGTACTGTTTCTATAAACATACCTTCTATGTTCATTCATGTTTTTTCATGCAATAATATATATATATATATATATATATATATATATACTATGGGAATGTCCCGGGACATTTGTTCACCCTATACAGTGTGCATTGGAGGGTTGGAAGTATTTTAAAATCACACTAAAATAATTGTTTTGTTTGTTTGTTTTTTTTAGATCAGGCAATGAGTGGTTGGAAGAGAGAAGCTAGGACTGTCTACAGAAAGTACACTTCAATTTAAGATCAACGTGTTTAGATTTAGATGCAAAACTTTTATTTGTCCACTGTCATGTTGTTTCAAACTCATTTTCTATTGCAGAACACATTCTGAATAATGTTTCTGTTTCCAGAATCCAACCCATTTATGTTGATTCATCAACAACTTTAAACCTCATTGGTTCTTGCGTATCACAAGATAAACATAGCTGATTGGGGTCCTGTGTACATGAACTGATCAAAGATTTATGTGTGAATATTGACCCCATTGACTTTCAATGTGTGGACAGATGAGACATTCTTCAAAATAACTTTTTCTGTGTTCCTCAGGAACAAAGAATGTCATGTGTTGAAACAACACGAGGGTAAGTAAATCGTGAATCTTCATATTTTTCAGTGATACTACTGATCACTGATGATGTTCATACCTGTTTTTCTGTCCTCTGTGCTACAGCTGATACAGTGTTGTGGTTTTTATGTTCATCCATACACAGCACACAAATACATTTCTGATCAGTGCGACAGAAAACCTCAAGAAGCTTGTCATGTTTCTGGCAGATCATCTCTTGCAGTCGTCCAGTGGCTTCAGACACTTTGTGTGGTTTACGTGAATGAAATTCCTCATGATGATCAAAATGAGTTTGACAGTAAGACTCATGACAATTCAGACAGGACTTGATGGCTTTGTATTTTCTTCCAGTACAGACGTCACACTGCACATCTCCAGCTCCAGCGTAATAGTCGGCAGAAGGTTTTGTCATCTTCATTTTCTCCACCACTTCAGCCAGAATGGTGTTTTTAGCTAAAGCAGGTCTTGGTCTGAAGATCTGTCTGCACTGAGGGCAGCTGTAGACTTTCTTCTGATCCTCCTGATCCCAGTGGCCTGTAATACAGCTCTTACAGTAACTGTGTCCACACTGGATAGTCACTGGATCCTTCAGGAGATCCAGACACACTGCACACATGAACTCATTTTGATCCACTGAAATTCTGGCTTCTGCCATTTTACTGCAAGAATACAGAGACACAAACGCACAACCGCTCGACTACACTTTAGTTTCGCTTTCCCTGAACTCATGAGATTCCTGTTTCCTGTTTCCTGCTTCTGTGTTTGAGTGACGCGTGTAAAACAGGCCAACCACTAGATGTCAGTCTCACACAGGCACCAAGAGAAAAATGACAGAGAAGCAAGAAAATGCCCTTAAAACGGCAATAATACTGTATCATAATTACTACATTTGTACTGCAAGATGGAAAACTGTTCAGATTTACAGTTTCTTAAATCTTTAGAAATGTTTTCACTTTGTTTATGATGAAATATTATATCTGGATCTTTTTTTTTTTTTTTGTCAAAAGCCCAGAATCATTCAAGTTTATAAATTTACTTAAAATGTGTGTCACTTCTTGTTAGGGATGGCTGACTTGAAACTACAGTTTCGACGCAGTGTCGAGATCCCGAAGCGTAGATGTTTCGAAACACTGCTCCGAAGCGTGATTCAAAACACCCATGTCACGTGACAACGGCTAAATGAAGCTTCGGTGCGGTGTTTCGACTGACAGGCGGCAAAATAAAAATATCACAATGTAATAAATGTGACACATTGTGGCTTGATTTATTTTATTAATGTTCACTTCTTATGACCCAAATAACCTAATTATTCACAATGAGAAGCTTAAAGGTTACAAAACCAAGCTCATGTAGTTGTCAGACATGTTAAAAACTCAACACATTATTAAAAAAACCAAATCTATTTGCTCTTACAATGATGTGGACACACTTTATTGTTTGACTTAAACAAAATGTAGGTAATCATTCGTAAATCGTTGTCAAGGCAGAGCAACACATGCAAGTGACCACTAGGTGTCGCAGTTGAGACCGGTGTCTGATTGTTTCAAGGCCCCGACACAATTCGGTACATTAGCTTCCCTGTTTCAGTGATTCATGAAGCCTCGCTCTGCCCATCACTACTTCTTGTTACTTTCAATTAACAGGAGTAATAAAATGTTGCACTAAGACTCTACAAACCCAAATAGTCCATTATGACGAGAGGGGCAGGGCCGAGAGCCGTGGGAACCGAGCGAGGCCGGTGGAGTAAATGCTAATGCGCGACACCTGCGCCACTCACCGGTCTCGAGTCCCACGGAGGAGCGAGAGAAGTCCAGGCCTGGTCCTCTCTCGTCCAACACTGTCGTCACTCCTCCTTTTATCCTTCCGGAGCTCCTCCGTGGGACTCGCTCCGTTCCCACGGCTCTTGGCCCTGCCCTTCTCGTCACATCCATGAAGAGCCAAGTTGACCCATTACCTGCATAATGGTTCCTCTGAAAGGGGTGTCAAATACAGCAGTGAAACTCTTTAGTCTGTAAAATCATGAGATCAACCAGAGGTTGAAGAACAATATCAAATCCATTTATCTTCAAGTCTTTAAAGGTGACATATTATGCCCCTTTTTACAATATGTAATATAAGTCTCTGGTGTCCCCAGAATGTGTCTGTGAAGTTTCAGCTCAAAATACTCCACAGATCATTTATTATATCATTTTGAAAATATCTGCGGGTTGTAATTTAAAGTGATGCCTTGTTACCCTCTTGCTACGTGTAGTTACTGTGTAAGTGTAACATCTGCGGGCTGTAATTTAAAGTGATGCCTTGTTACCCTCTTGTTACATGTAGTTACAGTATAAGTGTAACATTAAACAATTTTAGTTATGCTAAAATAGATTTGTTTCAAAGTTATTAACAATAAACTGTATTACATAGCTAAATACAAGGTCCAAAGACCTTAATTTAACAAATAAATATATTTTTTATTTAACACAATTTTAACAGATCTTTTCCAAAGAACAGAATGCAGAAAAAACAAATTTGCAACAACTTATACAAAATAAATAGAACAGTAAACACACACAAACAAATCATGTTCTAAATGTATTGTTAATAGGCATACGGTCAATTTTTCCTTTCAGCTGTGGGCAGGAGTCAACGAATTTCTGTAGATCGTGTGCATATACTTGCAAAGTTGTCCCTGCAGAATATGAGGGAGCAGAAAAGTCCTCCCCCTCTGATGCATTTTTCACCTGTGATCACAATTAGAGAAAAATACATTGCCAAAAAAAAAACTGTTAATACATGTCAAGTTTGCATAATGTAAAGAAGTGTTGCACAAAGCTTATATTTAACCAAATATAAAAACAGTCAACTCCACTCTGATGGGCTCCAATTCACCTTAACCCCTGGGTGTACCCTGTACCTTACGAAAATGAAACATGTTTATACCATAGTTTAAAAAAGAAACATTGTTACTATAGTTAAACCATGGGTACCACAAAACAGCCATGACTGTGCTACAAAAGTCTTCCTGGATACACTTTTTATTCAGTAACGTTATGCAGTTTTTTTTTTTTATATATAATTCAACTTTTTTTATTGTTCAACAGTCAAAACTTTGTACGTGATGTATTCAATAATACACAGTATTCAATATTCACCTTTCCAAACAATTACATATTCAGCCACTAGTCACCATCAATGTAATAAAACAAAAGCACATGGAAATGTAACAGTTGTTAAGGAGTCCTGCTCATCACACCATTTTTATATGCTGCCAAAAATGATCCCATGTTTTTTTCATTTCTCCCTCACTCTGCAGTCTCCCCAACATGCACTCATATGATGCAATTTCAATCATCCCATCAATCCAATCTTTCAAATCTGGGGTTTTGGGGCATTTCCAATTGCGCAAGATCATCCTGGCAGCTGTGATACAACCAAACATAATAAGGGTAAAAGCATTTTTTGCTATATTAGGTACAGCTGATTTATCTCCAAGAAGGCATAATTGTGGTTCCACAGGTAAAATATAGCCCAACCACTCTTCAAGTATTCTCAGAATTTTACGCCAGAATGGCTGAACTAAAGAACATTCCCAAATCATATGTAAATAAGTGCCCTCTTCTTCCTTACATTTCCAACAGATTATTTCCAGCTATCCCCATCCTGTAAAGTCTAGATGGTGTATAATAGTATCTATGTACTATTTTGTAATGAACGTTATGCAGTTTTGATTTATATGTTGTTTAATGCTGAAAATAATGTTATTTGACATATACATACGCGATCGCTTGTTTCTGCTTCTTCTTCACTGTTTTAATAATCTGGGCATTGAGTACCCTTTCAGAAGATGCATAGTAGCAGATACGGTGTCCTTTGCTCTTTCTTTGAGATCTTTCTCCGGATTACTGGAATTTATTGCTTTATTGCAGGGTGTTTAATTTCATGTTCTGTTTTAGCAGGAAAACCATCCTTACACCAGGGAGAGATTGTTTCACAGGGTGAGATAAAGTATTAAAAAGTATTGGCTTACGGTCAGAAAAACAAGGATCTGTAATGTAAATCCAAAAGACAAAATCATGTCAAGTGTGTGGCCTTTTTCATGTGTAGTGCCAAACACAGACTGAGAAAGATTCAGTTTGATTTGTATATGTTTCTACTTTTCATAACAATGTGTTTGATGCTTTGCATCTTTTCTGATCCATGGTACAAACAATATCCTTACAAACTGTATTGGTACAAATGACTTTCTTTAGGTGCAGTTCTCCAGCCCAGTGACAATGAACTTTTGTTGAACCAACCACACAGGGTTTTTTTTTTGTTGTTGTTAACTTTAAGAAACTGTTAAGAAATATTTTTCAAGGTAGTGAGGCATACCCATTTTTGTGCTGTTTCATTTCTTTGCTGTTACATGTTTGTTGCAAAAGTGGAAAAACTACATGAGCTTGCAGCATTTCACAATTTTGTATTTGTTTTAAATGTCTTTCTGGCCGATGTTTGGCTTTCACTTTAGGGTAAGTCTGGACTGGATTAATAAATGGAATAGTTTCTCTAGCCTGCAGCTCTTAATATAACATCATTTTTAACTAACCTTTTATGAGATAGGTCAATTAAAAAAAATATATATATATGAATGGGTCATTACTTTTTTGAATATGAACAATTTTATGGAACTTCGTGGCAAGTTTATATCAAGATATACATTTATCCTCTGGTTTCATTAAGCCTAGTCCCAGACTAAAATGCATGTCTGGCCTACTTAAAATATGCCCGTGGCATTGATTTGTCTCAAGATGCTCACCAGTAAGGGGGTGGATTGGCCAATTCTAGAAGGCAGATGGCAAAAAAAAAAAAACTGGCATAATTTAAAAAAATAATAATTATGAAGTCCCAGGTGTACCCAGTATGTGTCTGTGAAGTTTCAGCTCAAAATACCCAACAGATAATTTATTATTTCATTATGTAATGTCCCTTTTTGCCCAGAAGCAAAAACATGCTGTTTTTGTGTCTCTTTAAATGCAAATGAGCTGCTGCTCCCCGCCCCTTTCCGGAAGAGGGCGGAGTCTTTACAGCTTGTGACTCGGATTCTCTGCCAGCAACAAATAAAACATGTTTGTTTATTGATTTTCATTTCTATTGCATCACATTATCATGAGATTGCAGTTCTCCCTTTTTCGTTGCATGCATTGAAAAGCCTTGTCAGTTTAAACAGTGGAATGCAGGAAAAGCAATGCACAGGTACCAACACCGTTAACCATATTGACTGAAGTCATGCAAGATTATATTTCAATCTAAATGGGAAAAAAACAACTCTGAAGCAACTCTGGTCATGCGTTTTGACATCAGATCCTCGATGCTCAAGCTGAGGGATTGATTGGTTGTTCCATCGTGTGGAACTGAATTAATCTGCATTCTGAAAAATAACATTTGAATAATGTTTCAGCATTGAATATGAACTCAATTGTTTTCTTAATTGATCTATGATTTTCAACAGAGAGCAGAGAGATGTCAGTGAATAAAGAGAAAAAGCCCAATACAACAGCAAAAGATAAATCATACTAGAGTTCCTCTGTCCTGTAGGACACTACATCAGTCACAACCGTGACGTCAGTGGATCTGGATGGCTGGAATACAGTGACACCAGCATCAGAAGATCCAGCTGGTCAAAGGTGTTGA